GTTTTACTTAAAAAAGAAAAAGGCACCAGAACGGATGCAATTCACTTTTTAAAAGAATTTTCTCCAGAAAGCATAACTGGCCCATTCACTGGTCTTCCTGCCCACAAGGGAATAAGTGAACAAATTAAAATATGATGTGATACCTCTGAAAGGTTGCTTATCACTGTCTCTCCCTGGAAAACTGGTACAACATCATTTCTATTTATTTGGCTACAAATAAGACTAGTATTGAACAAGATTTGTAGTTTCTTTATGTCAGCTATAAACCTGAGTCTCTCTACTAAAAAAGTAATGTTTAATTTTAATCTTATTCAATGTGATGGCTTCCATAAGCTGTTGTATGTATGTATGCTTGTTCCAAGGGCCTTTCAGTGGAATAGAAAGAAATTAAATGAAGACTTATCATAAAACTTCTCTAAAATAAAAAACCAGAGCAACCATAGAAGGGTCTGGAAAAGGAACACATTCCATGGAAAGGCAAAAAAAGAAAGGGAGACTGATTACCCATGGAAAGAAAGACTGGAGAGGAGATGGGAACAGGAGCTGCAAAGACCAGAAAGTCTTACCACTTTGATATAGCAGTTACTGAAAAATCAGGCATAAACCCACATGAAAACAGGTAAATTAGTTTCCTCCTCTGTCCTCAGCTGCTTCTGAGAACTGGATTATCCTCAGAGGGTTATGGTATCAGGCTCCAAATCGTGCCTTCTCACTTATATACCATTCTCTTTGTTTGGAATCATATCCTCTCCTTGTAACTATCAGTAAAGTGTCTTTGCTTTTTCTCTATTATACGAACAACATCATGGTCACAACAAGGGACTCTGAAGTATGGACATCTTTCTTCTGTGATACCTCCACTTGTAACACCATTTTTCGTGGATCCATTATCTCATTCTTCCTTTACCTCATGCATAGCCCGGGTTTAATTTTTATCCATTTCTTTATTTTTACATTGACTATTATACCAGATGCACTATGTCTTTAAAATAGCAACTTTTGATAAAGATATGACATCACTTATAAACAGACACAGATTCTCAGAAACACACAGTCTGATAGAAACTTCATTGACTGTCCCCATGATTCAAGGCCTTCCTAGGTTCAGGTCAAGAAATTGACCATGCATTGTAATTGTAGCCAGAAATGCGCCCCCCCAAACCACCTTTTTTACCTGTTTGCTGATGTCTCAAATCCCTTTAGCAGCTAGCAAATTTTTTCATCCCATAGGTAGATTTACAAGTTAAAATACCAATAGGCTGAAGAAGAGGCCACACAGTGATGTTAATTAACATGTACTGATTGCACATCCTTCTGATGGGAGAGAAACTGGGGACCAAAGGTGGTGAGGAGGGAACTACACTGTGCAGGGTTACGGTACTAAGAGGGCAGGCTGGAGACAAAGGCATACTTCGTCCGTCCGGTAAAGCTGCCCCGCACAGGTCTTGGGGAAATGGAGCACCAGCTGATGGCAACCCACGTGGCATCCCATTAAAAAGGACTTATTATAAATGGGCTACCCTATCCACTCAGTTAATATCTCCATGAAGTCAAGAACAAATGCCATCTGATTCTGAGTGGGCACTAGGCTTCTGTCTATTACAGGCAGGCCACTTATTTAAAAAAAAATCCCTCAAATATACATAGGCACTGAATTATTAGAGAGAGAGAGGAAAAAAACAGGTAATGAGGGTGGCCAAGTCTAAGTGCGCTCCTGATCAACCTGTCATTATCCCCTGGGCGGGCCCTGCAGGTGCAAATTATAGACCTCAGGATAAAGTGACGGGTGCCTTAGGATTAAGTCACCAAAAATACTGGGTGGAACTCCAAATAGGTAGCACTTTGGATTCATATTAGAAATAGTATTTGGTTTTCACTTTATAAATACCCTGGCTAATGGGTCTGTCTTCACAAATGGATTTCATAGCTATCCTTCAAAAGTCAGCTCATATGTGACAATTTCTTGGATAACTTTCTGGATTCCCCCAAATGGAATTCCTCCCACCTCTTTAGCACCCTCATCCCCCACACCCCCATCTCTTTTTAACCTGTACTGTATCCTACTTTCTGTGTCCATGTTTTATAGGCCCTATTTAACTACAAGCTCTGCGAAGGCAAGACTTTCACAGCACGCTGTCATATCTGTAACTTATATTTTACTTGTTTAAAGTTTCTCTCTAATTTACATTTTATTTTTATATGTGTAATGGCTGCATTTCTCATTTTCCCATAAGCTCCATGAAGCATGGAGTCATGTTTGTTTTATTTACCACTCTAAATATTGCACAATTCCTAGCACAATACATAGCATGTAGTAGACATTCAGTAAACATTTTCTAGTTAATACATTATATGTTCATACTTTTCAAATAACCTAGCAGACACAACTTATACCTAGGAGGATTTCAAATAAGGGCTAAGTACAGTAGATTTTAATTGAATGGATTAAAACTAGAGACATAAGTACAGGAAAGCCATGGTATAAAAACACTCATTTGGAGTAAATCCTAAATAAAGAAGAGAAACTGTACAGCAAGCCCCCAAGTCAGTAGACCCAGGTATTCTTTAAGAAACAGGGAGAAATTTTGCATTTTCTGCTTGAAATTCTAGTTAGAGAATAGGGTTATTAGGTATTTTTTTCCTAAGAAAACAGGGAAATGATCCATTTATTCACAATCCAAAATCTAAAACCATATAATCTGGTCACAAAGAAATTAGGATTATAGATTCCTAACTAAACCATGTCCCTCCTGTTCTGTGGAATGATGTTCCATGGAGATCTCTGACTTTAAATGAATTAGCTGAGGAAAATCTTCATCACTACTCTAGATTTCTAGTAAAATACACTGAGGCTCTAATGCTCCAGGAACTCTAGCAGACTGTTTGAAACTAGAATCTCTGATTTCTCATCCTGAGATGTCACAGTCGAACTCACTGGAGTCAACTGGTCTTAGAAAAGCTTTGATGAGTACAGATGCCTACATAACACATGGAGTAATCAAGTTTTTGGATGTGAACAAATGTCCTCAAAATATAGTGGACACTATGCCAAGAATGCAAATATCGCTCATAACAGCAGTTGAGAAACAACGTCTCTTGGTTGACCGATTTGCATTGAGCCAGCAATGGTCATCATTCCAGCCTTCTTCTCTAGATGGAGAACTAAAAGTCAATAGCAAGCACGCAAAAAGTGGCACTCAGGACAGCTTTCAGGGCCGTAACAGCAAACTCCAACTCTGCTCTCCAGTACCTGCCTTCAAACTCCAAAATTTGGTCCAAGAACACTTTTGCAAATCTAACCCCAGGAGACTTCTTAGATCCTACTTCCCCAGTGCAAATGTAGCTGCCCCTTCCTCAGTGCTTTCAGTAGCACTTTAATTATGTCAACTTTTTACATTATTTCTCATGTTCTCACCTCATCTGTCTCTTAGGCATGGTTTTCTAGAGGTCAAGAATCGTGTCTTATTCTGTTTTATACCCCAGAAATCCGAAATAGGCATGGAGCTAGCTCATATCAAGCTTACCCCATCTACATGTCCATTACAGGGGAAAAAAGAATGCCTCTCATATAGTGGACATGAGGACATCAGTAAGAATTTAGTGACTGATTACTATGTGCCAGGTATTGTCCAGCATGCTAGGGATACCATTAAACAAGTAGGGAGACCCTGACCAGTGTGGCTCAGTTAGTGGGGCATTGTCCTGCAGAGTGAAAGGTTGCCAGTTCAATTCCCAGTCAGGGTACATGCCTGGGTTGCAGGTTCAGCCCTGAGACAGGGCATGTGCAAGAGGCAAATGCTCAATGTTCCTCTCTCATGTGGAAGTTTCTCTCCCTCTTTGTCTCCCTCCCTTCCCCTTTCTCTCTAAAAACACAAATAACGTCTTTAAAATAAAAGTAGGTAAGATATTACTCTCTAGGGGACATTAGGTAGATAAACCAATCAACAGAAAGATTATTTTGGATCATAATGGGTATTATGAAAAAAAAACAAAAATGGACAGTCAGATGAAGAGTGGTCAGGAGGAATGACAAGGTGGCCTGGGCCACTGAGCCTTTCAGCTGAGGCCTGATTGATGAGAAGGAGCCAGCCATGCCAGGACCTGCAAGGGGAAAGTGTCCTAGAAAGAGGCACTATACTAAAGCAGTCTTTGTTATTGGTGGGGTAGACACCAGGAGGCATGCAGAGGGAGATGACTGAGCTGGTTAATTGTAATTCTCTCCCCTCTGTCTATACCAAAGCCAGGTACCATCTGTCCCCTTCACTCTGCATGTTCTTTTCATTACCATTTCCATTTTCTTAATTCTGCTCCCTGATTTCCATTTAATTACAAGAACCTGAGCCTCTGCCAGCAGCGAACACATCCGGAGCCTCTTCTAACCTCTAATCATGTAAAACATTGAACAGAAAGCAATTGGAAAACAGAAGTTGATAGTACTAAGATATAACTTTTATTCTTGTTAGGTCCATTCAACTAATGTTTATTTTTATGACCATTACCTCCCATTATCAGTACTGATCATAGTCAGAAACTAAGTTACAAACTTGCTTATCATTTGTTTCTTTCCATATTGTCTCGTAGGAAGTTCTATTATGTGGTAAATATCTTTAGTAAAGCTGCACATTTAACTGTGCGGTAACATTAAAAAAAAAACTTAGCAAACGCATCTAAATAACATTTTCCAAGATAAGCATAAACATTTTAGTGAATAAGTATGCTACTTATTTTAGTATTACTGATTTGAAATTTCTTCATCATTATTATCATGTACTTCACTGCAACTATTCATTCATCAAAAACTGTAATCAATAAAAGAAAGAAGGAGAAAAGAAGCTATTTTCAACATCATGACCAGATTGTCCAGATGTTGTGCTTGGAATACATCACAGTGTTTCCAATCATTTGGAACATGCAGATTTTACATTGCAATCTGAAAGCTGTGAGCCCAGGAGTCAGCAACAGCACCCAGGAAAGGATGTGTCTCATGGAATGTATTCTACCTGATGTCGTCTTCTGTTCCAACTGAAGGCATCTAGGTTCTTCTTGGGATTCCTCTTCTTCCTGAGTTCCAGCCCCATAAACCAAAAAAAAAAAAAAAAAAGGAAAAAGGAAAAAGGAAAAAAGGAGAAAGTCAAAATAATGCATTCATTTACAACAACACTTTTGCCAATCTAATTAACAAGAGACCAAGATCTAAAAACATTATACCTTTTAAAAACTGAGACTTTGGAGAAGCAACAAATGCAACAATAGATATCGAGTAGATAACTATGGGGCACTGGGTTACAAACTACAGGGTACCACATAGATGGTTCTGTCTATAAATGCTGCCCCTATGTAGTAAAACCGAGGAGCCTCTGTGACGAATGCATTTGGGGGCATCAGTTGCTTAGACACAGCAATGTTGGATTTCTCCATAACATAGAAATTCTGCCAGTATGGTACAATATAACAGAATCATGTTTTAGTTTTTATAATTCAAAGACCTGATTTCATGTACTTTTGAAAAAGCTATCACTGTTCACAAATTTTTTTTTTAACGTTCACAGCAGTTTTATTAGTAGTGGCCAAAAACTGAAGACAACCCTAATGTCCTTCAACGAGTACATGATTCAACATACTGTGGTACATCCACACCATGAAATACTGTTGAGAAATAAAAAGGAACAAACTATTGATACATGCAACCACTTGGATGGATTTCAAGGGAATTACACTGAGTGAAAAAAGTTAATCTCAAAAGGTTACATGCTATATGGTTTAATTTATAGAACATTCCTGAAGCGTCAAAATTAGAGAGACAGAGAACAAATTAGTGGTTGCTAGAGACTGAGCCTTGGGGGCAAGGAGGGCAGGTGTCTGTGGCTATAACAGGGAAACAAGAGATCTGTGTGATGGAATAGTTCTGCATGTTGCAGTGGTCATCACATGAACCTACACGTGTAATAACATTGCATAGAACTAAATAAACACACAAAAAAGTTCAAGCAGTTGAGCACAAATATTTTAATTCTCTAAAACAAAATTTTCTTTAAAGAGCTAGCTACAGTTCAAATCTCATTTCTATGAGGTATTACATCCACCACTTTTTTAAGAGACGTAAAATTATGATGCCACCAGAAGCTACTGAAACATTTTAGCTAAGGGTTAAGGTAAAGCTAAGAATATTTTCATGCAGAAATCCAAAGGGGACAGTCTGAATGAAACAAGTTCCACATGGTCACACAAGTCCTGGTAAAGGAACTAGAGGGGAAGCCCAAGCTGGTGAATGAGTGGGAGAGGGAAAGAAAACATGGTTCAACCAGATCACATGAAGAAACCCAGTACAAATGCTGGCTTCAGCATTGTCTAGGTAACCCTTATTTTTTGTTAGGAGTGACTCTAAAATAGTCCTATTGTTGCAAAACCAGTCCAAATTTTACCAAGTTAAAAAGAAGTCCCTCGCTGACTTGTAGGGTGTAAGTAGTAGGTAACCCATGTCCTCCCATATCAAGAGAAATTAGTTCTGGCAAAAAAAATCCCAACATTCCTTGGTGGTGCTGTTGATAGGTCATGTTCCCAGTGATGTTCTGCTGGCTGGAATGGAAGAGGGGAGGAGAGCAGGCCTTATTACTCAATCAACTTCTTGCCCTTGAAGAAGCAATGAAGGTAGAATAAGACCTGCCAACTGGCTAGTCAAATGAGGCAGAACACTGAAAAGATGCTGAAGTACAGGCCCCAATTGTTGACTCACTAGTATCACGCATCTTCTCCTCTGGCGTTTTCATGTAGGCAAAATCACGATAGATTCTGAAAGGTCTCTGTGTGTCATACCTCCACCTCTAATGGTTTAGCTTCTCAGCTTTTGTGATCACTGTAATTTTTTGCCTGCACTCCATGCTTCATGTCTAGGATCACAAATTGGTCAGGTATCTGTCCTGTTCCCTTGCTCTCAAAGCACACTTTGAATATGTTATAATCTTCGGTGGTAAAAGGAAATTTTCCCTTGGTTGCACCCTCCTTGTAGTATAGAATATGGTCGGCAGAATCTGCAATCTTGAGGTGGGAGTGCAGGTCACCAGCAGGTCCTTGTGGAGCTCCTCATGGAAGCACTTGCAGGAGTTAATGGGCATATGGAGGGAGATGGCAAGAACCTAGCTAGGGCCAAGCAGAAGCAAAAGGAGCAATACTAACTAGCAAGAACCAGGCTGGGCTGGTGGGCAGACAAGCCAGACCAGGTGCCACACAATCATTTTTATCTCTGGGAAAGTGGATAAACACATTCTTTGAGTTTTGGTATGATATTCTTTAAAGACAGTTGTCACTGCTGCAGCATTAATATGCAAGCAGACTCAGCTGGGAGTAAGGGAGATAAATTAAAAGGAATGTCTAGATGGTGCTTTTCTAGTTCTATCTGCAAGATGGCGTTATGTTGATTCCTTTATTTATTTTTTTTCTTTCATTGAGTAAATATTTGTTGAGTGCTTGTTGTGGGGCTATTTCTGTGGGACCTTAATCTTTAGGTGGAATCCGGTCCAGCTTCCTGTGAATGACACTGCAGGCAATCGCCATCCCAGCTTCCATCCTTCCTAGGGAGGCACACTTTCTGTGCATACTTTGCTCCACCTAAGAGGTTAGTCTGATCAAGATATTCTGGACCATAACAAACCATATGGGTATTGTTCCATGAATGATACCTGAAGCCACTCTGCAACTAGAGTGGAGCAATGGAACTCCAACACTGATGTCATCCAGCAAAGGAGCACTCCCCGATTTGTTCTAAGTTTGCTGCTCCTGGGCGATAGCTCATCGCTGGTGATGAGAATCCACCAGTCTCTCATGGTTGGTTAGTAAGATTTGGAAAAAAAAAAATGTTCTTTTCAATTCATAAAGATTAGTTTCCTTAAATCACCATCAGTATGAACTCATAAGGGAATTGATGTCACCTGTTTGGGAACACATTTTCTTAGAGATCAAAAATCATCTTCAAATGGTCATCATCAGGGACCAGTCCAAAAAATTTGTCCTGCTTTTAAAATCCATGAAATAGCACTGTCTTGGGCCATTTGGGTAAATAAGCCTTTGGTTCAATTATCTAGGATTTATGTGTTATAAGAAGTTTAAATAAAAATTGCTTTCAAAATTACATTTCTGAAAAAGATGTGAATTAATACTATACAAAAAGACACATAAATGATTTTTTAAAAGCCCCATCACATAACACCTAAATGGGGCAAAAAATTTCTTGTTTTGTAAGGCCCAACAAGACAGGATATAATAAAAACACGAGGACCTATTTTTATAATACAACCACAGAGAAAGTCTCTTGAGATACCAAAATAACCCAAATAAAGTTGTTTCATAGTTGAAAGGATTCTCCTTTGAGCCAGTAAGACTGTTTACTTTTTTATTGCTCTGAATTCCAGAATGGTGAAATAATTCAGCCCTTTAGCTTTCCTCCAAACATATTTATTACTTCATTTTAAATGGCCCCTCCCCCAATTTTCTCATAAACTAGTAAAAATTGCAAAGCCCTGGAATGATCTGCAGATGGAAGGATATTTGGAATACTTTTGACTAGAGAGTTCTCAGAATAGAATAAACAAGCATCTGTCTTTGATAGTATAAACTGTGTTGTAGTTAGTGAAAAAAAGCTGAGCTCCTTAGATTCTTGTGTTTGTTCTCTTGAGTGCAAGTCTGTGATTTGCTGAATTTGTTCTTACTGGCTTTTTCCCAGCAGAGCTAAAATAAAGTGACAATAGTCCAACTGTAGTAGCCATCTGTTGATTTTGCTGCCTGGCATTCACGCACTCTGTCTAGTAAGTGTGTCCTGATTTCCTCTTTAAAGTCACTCATTCCCCCTCTTAATGAATTGTGATTGCTATAAAATCAACTCCACGCTCTGCACAGGCCCCTCTTCATCCACCACACAGGGGACTAAGGGCTAGGCCCAGCAGTCCAGTGCATTTCTCTGTGATTGGTACAGGATGGTCATGTGACCCAGAGCTATGTCTATCAATCGACTGTAATTTTCCCTGAGACTGGTTTAGAGTAGTCATGTGACCCGGGGCTGTGCCCATTAGTCCACTTCATTTCCCCATGATTGATTCACAGGGGTTATGTGACCCAGTCAGGGCTAGTGAGAGATATTCCCTGGACTTCTAGGAATATGACTTCTATTCTTACCCACTGAGCCTGAAACCTGACACAGCTGTGAATGTTGGAGCTGCTGCTGTCACTTGAAGCTGAGACAAAAGTCCACACTCAAGAAGGCAGAGCCAAGGGAAAGACTGATACAAATTGCCCATGATATAATTTGAGCCCCAAACCCAGCCGTGCCTGAAGCAAGTTAACCCTGGATTATTCAGCCTATCAGAAATGATACTCCTTTTCATTTTTTTAAACTACTTTGATTTTTAAAATATCAAAACCATTTCTGTCACGTTTTCTGCCACTTCTAACGGAAAGGATTCTGGCTGAAACTTTAGTTCTGGGAAGCCTGGAGTAGAGTTTGTTGATTATTGACTTCTGTACCTCACACACCGTCACGCACCTCACAGCCTAATTAAATGAAAGGTGATAGCAATGATTCACTGAGGAGATGCTATTAAAATTCGGCAGACAATTGGACTTCTCATCTGTTCCTGAGGACTAATCCCAAGGTGTTTTATTGAGAGGCCACATGATTTGTATACTTTGTGAGACAGTTAGTGAGGTGTGACCCTAATAGGAGACAAAGGAGAGGTTCAGGAAAAAACAAAGCCCCTTACACTCACGGGTCCTAGAGAAGGAAGCATGACACCCCTCTCAGGGCTATGTAGGAAAGACTCCCCGGTGGCCAGGAGCAGAAGACAGAAGCAAGGGGGACATTTAGGCCACGGACTTTATTGGGGTTTCACAGGGTAAGGCAAGGCAGGGAAACCCCTTCAGAGAACTGTAGATGCAGGGGAGCCCCAAAAGATGGAAGGTGTCACTCCTGCCTTAACCACTTCAGCACCTCACTCTGGCCACCACTGAGTTCATGGAGGATAAATTCCTCATGAGCAAAAGCTGTAATTCACTAAATTACCCACGACTGGGGA